TGCGTTTTCCTCTCGTCCACCTTGATGCCTTCACTTGAGATAAAATATCCCAAGAATTCAGTTTCTTGTGAGAAGAATTGGCTCTTCTCAAGGTTCCCATAAAGCTTCTCTTCATCCAATCTCTTAACCACTAAGGTGAGGTGGTTAACGTGCTCTTCTTCACTCTTGCTATAGATCAATATGTCGTCAAAGTAGACCACGACAAAGTGACCTATATATGGCTTCAATACTTGATTCATCAATCGCATGAATGTGCTAGGGGCATTGGTCAGCCTAAATGGCATAACCAACAATTCGTAGAGGCCAAACTTTGTTTTGAAGGCGGTCTTCCATTCGTCACCTTCGAAGATACGGATTTGGTGGTAACCGCTTCTAAGATCAATCTTTGAGAAAACCTTCGAACCGTGAAGTTCGTCCAGCATATCCTCGAGCCTAGGTATGGGGTACCTATATTTGATGGTGATCTTGTTAATGGCTCAGCTATCACAACACATTCTCCATGTACCATTTTTCTTTGGTACCAACAAAGCCGGAACAGCACAAGGACTTAGGCTTTCACGAACAAAGCCCTTTGTTAGTAACTCATCCACTTGACGTTGGATCTCCTTTGTTTCTTCAGGATTCATTCTATAGGCTGGTTTGTTTGGTAAGGCAGCCCCGGGAATGAGGTCGATCTTGTGTTGGATATCTCTTTTTGGGGGCAGATCGTGTGGTACATCTTCGGGGAAGACGTGGGCATATTGTTCAAGGATGGGGATGGCTAGAGGATGGGGCTGTTTGGGAGGGGCAGTGGGTTCGGCCATCTCAAGATCAAGGAGAATGAGGTCCTTGAATCCTTCATGTTCGTGGTGTTCGGATTGGAGTATAGTGGAGATGAGGGATGGAGGGGTGTTGTTGCTGGTTTGGGCCGTGGGTGAGGAAGGTGGGGGTAAGGGAGTGAGGGTAATTTTCTTCTTATTCATTAGGAATGAATAAGTGTTCAAGTAGCCATCATGCTGCACTTTGTTGTCAAACAACCAAGGACGTCCCAAAAGGACGTGGCATGCGTCCATGGGAATGATGTCGCACCAAATGTCATCCTTGTAAGTCTCGCCAATGCTCAGCGATATCAAGCACCTCGTATCAACACGTAATCCCTTGCCTTGGTTTAACCATTGAATGATGTAAGGCTTAGGATGAGGGGACACCTTTAAATGTAGTTTTTCCACCACTGTTTTGGAGGCAACGTTAGAGCAGCTCCCACTATCGATGATTAACGAACACACCTTCTTTTGGATGGTACAACGGGTATGGAAGATGTTCTTCCGTTGTAATTGCTCTTCGGCGCATGGTATGGCACTTAAGGTCCTTCGGATGAACAAAAGTTCTCCGTCGTCGGGACCAACGCATTCTTCTTCCTCTTCCTCGGCTACTTCTTCATCCCATATGGGATTGTACTCTTCATCATCATACTCAACCAAGGCCATTATTTTCTTGTTTGGGCACTCATTGGCGTAGTGACCAGTTCCTTGGCATCGGTAACAAACGGGGGCTATTTTGTTGGTTGTAGGGGCTGTTTTAGGTGGGGGAGGAGTAGGGTTTGGCTTAGATGGAGTTTGGGGTTTGGGGGTTTGGCCGTGGGCAGTAGGGGTGACTTTGGATGGGATGTATGTGGGGCGTAAGTAAGGGGGAGGGTTTCTTGAGAGGATGGCTTTGGATTTCTTCATTTGAGCCTCAACTTTGAGAGCCAACTTAGTAAGCTCTTCAAAAGTAGTGTAGCTTTGCAGCTCCACTGTATTGGCTATTTGAGTGTTTAATCCGAAAAGGTACCTCACAAAGGTTTGCTCCTTGTTTTCTTGCAAGTCACACCTTAGCAAGGGCTCTTCGAACTCCCGAGTATAATCCTCCACTGATTTCGTACCTTGCCTAAGCGTTTGAAGCTTAGCAAAGTTTTCTCGTGAGTATTCGGTGGGCAGGAACTTCTTCTTCAAAAGACTCCTCATCTTTTGCCAAGAATCAACGGGGGGCTTCTCACTTCGAACTCGTTTGGTGGTGGTATTCGTCCACCAAGTAGAGGCATACTTTCGGAACTTTAAGGCCACGATCTTGACCTTCTTCTCATCGGAGATTTCCTTGAAATCAAAGACTCGTTCCACCATTTCTAACCACTCAAGAAACTCATCCGGATCATTCTTTCCTTCAAAGATTGGAATATCAACTTTGAAGGAATGGGACTTTTCGTGAGCCCTAGTTCTCATGGTTGCACTAGAGCTAGCTTCCTCTTCATCTTCACTATCTTGTAGCATGGACATCTTTTGCTTTGTGAGCTTAGCCACTTCTTTGGCTAGGCATTCCACTTGAGCTTGCAAGGCAGCGTTTGCGGCTACAAGTTCTTCATGAGACATGCTTCGGGATTGGTTTGACATGGTTGATAGGAAAAGGGATGAAGTGGGAGAAGGGATTGAATGTGGTTAGGCCGAATTTAGGGAGGGAGTTGGGGAAGTGTGTATGGTCCTTGAGAGATGAGCAACAACTAGCTTTGATACCAAATGATGTACCCAAGCTTAGGAAAAGCTATGGATAAATAAGATCAGATTATAGAGGGGAATATATGGTGAAGAATTGGTTGGATTTGTGTATGAAATGGTGAAGAAAGTATGGTTGTTTGGAAGAGGTGATAGGGCAGAATCAAGGGCAGGAGAAAAGCAATATTATGGAGTGGTTTTTGATGAAGAAATGAAGTGTTTAAATGGGAGAAAGGGGATGGACGAAATTGGGAGAGAAATAGGGAGTTCTTTTGTGGTTTTTGTTGTATAAGGATAAACCAAATAATGAATAAGAGATAAACACACTCTTATTTTACTTGGGGCTGTTTCTTTTCACACAATAATATTCACTATTATTGTATGAAATAGACTCCTAACACACACTCAAAAGTAGCCAACTTTAGATATATTTCATTAGGAAATTGAGAGAATTAGCTTCACACCAACTCAAATATTACTTGAAAGAGTGAAGAAATGGAATACAATGAATGAGTTTTACAAGGCCATAGGGCCGAAATATATAGGGAAAACAGCAAGGAAACTTCACCACTCTTTCCTACAATTCAAGTGCATAATGTCTATTTGATGGATCCCATAGGTTGTCCTCATTGATCAAGGCTAAAAGGGGTTCATGGTGGTGAAATGGGCTGTCTTTGGGTGGGGAAATTCGGCCATGTGAAGGGTAGGGTGAGGGAGTGTGTCATTTTGTCCTCTTATGCAAAGTAAGGTATGTGACACATCAAGGGATTGGTTGTTTATTCCTTTGGCCTTATTATAGCTTTGAGAAGTGATTTGGGGGATGTTTGGGGGGAGGAATTCGTTCATGGGACAAGTGAGGGGGGGTGGTTTTGAATGATTTTCACACCAAGACAAAAGACATGTTTAATCCTTGTCTCCTGATTTGGTCTTTTGTGTTTTGTAAGGCAAAACACAAAAGGGAATGCATTCTAAGGCAAAAAGGGAATGCATTTTCGTGGGTTTGAAGTAGGGAAAGGTGGGGGAAGGTTTTATTCAGCAATTTTGTTTGTCCTTATCTCTTGGATTTTCAGCCATGGCTTCAAAGGGAGGTGAAGGATTTTATTTTGGTTATTAAAGGAAAATGAAATACTTTTGGATATGTGGGAGTGTGTTGGGCTTGTAGGCATTTCGGCCTAGGTTGGGTTTTGGGAGAGAAGGGTCATGGTTCGGGCTTTAATGTGGGACGTGTCAATGAGTTCAACCCAAAATGGATCATAACACCTAGACATTAAACACTTGACTTGTTGTAACACTAGTGGCGTGTGTGAAAGTGAATCCTGGGGTATATCAGAGAGTCTTGTTCTTGAGTGTTCTTAGTGTTGTATACATGTTAAGGGAAGCTTGTTTCCCTTGGTTGTACGAAGGAAAGGTATTTTCCTTCGGGTGTAAGTCTTGGAGTGCGGTATCTCCAAGAAAGTGTTGTTGAGGCTCGTGGGACTCAAGTTCTCAGGTTGTAACGGTTTGTTAAACACCCGTAAGCTTAACAGAAGTAGTGTAGTTTGAGAGAGTCTCTCGGGAGACTTGATTAGCCACACATTGTGGTGAACCAGTATAAATCTTGGTGTGCTCTGTTAGTCGGTTTAGTCGTTGTGCCCACGCCTTAGAGGGGGGGTGAATAAGGCGTTTAAAATCTTTTCGGAGTTTGATAAAAAAACGGTGTTGGCAAATGCGGAAGCAATATATAAAACGCAGAAATAAAAGCGTAAATAAAATGCACACCGATTTTATACTGGTTCGGGAAACCCCTACTCCAGTACCTCGAGGCTCCTCCTCAAGGATTTCCGAATCCACTAAGTTCCGGCCTCTTAAATTCCGTCAAAGCACCGCACTAGTTTTGGCAAACAACCCTTGCCAATAGGATTCACTCCGAGATTTCACAACGGCTATCTCGAACCATTTACAACGAAGATTTAACGGCTATCTTCTACCGTTCCCCCAAGGATTTCAAAGGCTATCCTTGAACCTTTACCCAAGGATTTATACGGTTATCCTTGACTGTTACAATGTGAGAATTTAACGGCTATTCTCGACCGTAAGAATGTGTTTTTGATGAACACAATCAAGGATTCTACACAACGGCTAGAATATTAAAATGATAAACAAAACTTAGCCGGTGTAGAAGGAAAGTATACTCTCTCAAAAATACAATTCAGACTTATGAATATGAGAGTATATAACTAGAAAACACAAGCTCAAAGTCTGTATATAAAAATCAGGAATTTTAAGGCTCTTAAAATAGCCAAAATATTGAAAATAATTCATAAAAGGATGAACACACTTAGAATAAAAAGAGGATGTTTAGAGCTTTGTTTCTTGAAGAAATATGAAGGATTAGGCTTGTATTTATAGTGGAAGATGTTAATTAGCCGTTTGGAGGTGATTAGGGGTGATTTGAATTTAAATTGGCAATTTTCTACAGTGATTACAACGGATCCGGTACCCTTCACGGTAGGGTCTGTACCGTCCGGTACCTAGGTACCGTGACCACGGTATAGCCTACCGTTTGGGGGTACCGTGTCTTCCAAAAGTTCGGTTCGCCTCTGGCGGTACCTGGTTAGGACGGGTTCGGCCAACCATCTACGCCTACAGTCGGTATCTAGGTACCGCCTACACGGTATGGGGGTACCGTGTAGGCGGTATACCCTACCGTTTGGGGTACCGCTAGGGGTACCGTGACTCTGTTCTGATTTTTCCAAAATTCCCTTAATCCTTCGTGTTTGAGTTTAAAACCTTTTAGATATTTGAAAATGTTTATGTGATGGTTTTAAACATATTTTGTGAGTGCTTTTGAGCTTGTGAATATAGGTATATAAAGTCATATCCTTACATTGGTTTCTACCTATATTCTAAGCTAGTTTAGTGTTTCGACTTCATTCTTGAGTACCGAATCTTAATGGATTCTTGTTTTCCTGAAACACTTAAACAAACGTTAAGCTCTAATATTGTTTGTTAACATCAAAACATGAGGCTTAGCAAACCCAGGCTAACATGCTCCCTTTACGCTTTCTACGCTCTTTACTTTTCACGTTCTTAATTTTTTATTCCTGCGATTTCTACGATCAAACGCTATTCATCCCCCCTCTAGCGTCGGTCACTTACTCTAACATATTTAATCAGATGAATTTTGAACAATATTTCAAATAAAAAATAGTATAACTTTTTAAATTTAAACATCTCGTCAGAGCGGGAAAAGCTGCAGGGAGCAGTGTATCCATGCACTTAGGAAGAAGAATGAGGAGGAGAAGGGCCCCTCTAGAGCCTGTTCTCCCTCTGACGTTGTATGGATGGGTTTTCCGCCCCACCCATGTCCTAGTCCTCCCATGCCTCTAGGCACGAATTCGATTGCGCAGCTGTTGGGACATGGGGATATAGCTACTGTGGAGCTTGAGGTGAACCCGTGTGGCTCCCTCAATATCTTCCCTCTTCTGCGGCGAGTTGTGTCTCCTCCACCTTGATCGAAAGCATCCTTTTGTATTGGGAAAACTCCTAAAATGTCATGGAGTCCCAATCAACCTCCCCCGAAGGGAGCCTTGGTGGGCTAGGGGGCAGAGTAGTCAAGGAACGTTGGGGTTGAGGATAGCGTTTGGCGAACTCTGAAGGACCCAGCCCCACTCTATCGTTGGAAGTGATATAGGGAGTGGGAGAAGAAGGCTTAGAAAAAAAAGGAAGAATCAGAGATGGTGAGATCAATGAAAACTTGTTTTTTCGCACCTTCAGTCATGATGGAAGACATGATACTAATGTAAAAAGGATGGTGAAGCTCTAAGGCATAAGGTCCCTTTAAATATATGGGGATTCCATGATGGGAATGCATAGAGGAAGCGGAAAGTCATGATAGAAGCAGTGATTAGCGTGTGGAAGTGCTTGGCCAGTCCCAAGATTGACTAGGGTTTTTTCTCACCAAGGTGGGCTAAAAATCAATTGGGCCCAAAGAATGCTTGTGGGTCGATTCATGTATGGGAGCAGAAGCAAATTAATATATGAGTATGTGCTAAAAAATGAGCAAGGATAAGGTCACATATTCAATACAGAGTAATCTAGAAGGTAATTCAATGTTACATTTAAAGTTACAATTCCCGGAGACCCGGGGCAAAGAAGAGTACATGGAATAGAGAAAATAAAGTAAAGGGGTCGGGAAAATCATTTAGTTGCAGAATCCGGAGGCGGAAGTCTGGAAGGGAGCCCGCAGAAGCACTCCATAGTGGTTTGCGAAGCCAGGTCTCCTTCAATTTTCCCATAGATGCAAACTTGCACGCCATAGAGGCCTTCCTAATAGTCGGTGCTAGCCCGGTCAGTTAATTTTGCAATCTAAGACTGCCATTCGACCACCTCTTTTTCCATTGTGTTAACCTTCTCCCGGAGTAATGGGACAGAACCCAGATCCCCTCCTAGGGTGGCAACCCGCTCCTACATCTCACTTACCCAGGACTTTGCTGCTGGCAGTCAGTCAAGGACAAGCTTCTTGTGCTCCATATGGAGGATTTTGGCTTGAGTTTCCAAGGCGCTATCTCGCTTGGTTTCCCGCAGTTCCTCCCCTAGTTTTGAGATTAATGATATACCCCCGGCTACCAACAACGATCCTCAAGTCCTTAAACAAATCTGTGGAATAATGTCAAAATGTTTTAATCCTTTTTGGAATGAATATATCACCCCTAAACCATACAACCCGACCCTAGTCCTTTTGGACCTTCCCCCACCTTGATGGCCGAAAATACCACTTAAAACCAACCCCCCAAATATCCAAATCAAACCCAAGTCCTTCCCCCCTTTTTTCTTCTACCCCCCACACACCCCCACAACACCCCATCACATTTTAAACCACATGCTAAAACCAAAAAACCAATGCCAAACCATGACCCCCTTTCTTTTCTTTGAAATGGCCGAATACAAAGGGCCAAAACACAACCCATCCCTTCCCCCCAACATGTACCAGTGGTGGTCGCTTAATGTCCCCTAACAAGGATGAATAAACATTCACTAAAACCAGGGATAAAAAGCTTGCAAGGACACCACAAATGACTTACCATTTGAACCAAACAACCACCTCATACACTCCCCCTCACCCCCACACCTGGGCCGTGCATAACCCACCCAAAACCACCACA